GTAGTTATGAAATAACCTTTATATCAAAGGTTAGATAAGTACTATAGACAGTCGACTTACCTAGATATTCGTTTGTAATTTGGATAAAAATCTTGATAGGTATATAAAATTGAGTATACTGTGTTTACAGTATTTTTTAAATTGAACAAGCTATTTTATTGATTGATAAATTAAACCAGTGGAGGTATTAATATGTTAAAATCTTAGCACTTAAACTTTAAAAATATTGCAAACGTATACCTACATTATAAACTCTATAAATACCTTAATTCATTTAAATAATAAACAGAAGCAAGTTTGAAATTATTTTATTTATTACTGTTTACCATGGAAAACATTGTTATATTTCGTGTATTTTTTGTTACTAATTTTTTCCTGTATATTTGAAATGTTTATATTCTAAGTTTTTAATTTAAAATATAATGCGTATGTTCAATTAGAGATATGTAAAATAAAATACATAATGTGCAAAATATGCAGACTGAAAATAAGTACTACATGTAAACCTTTGGTTTTTAACTGAGTTTACTTTTATCACATTTTAGATTGCATTTATTAATCAGTGATCAATTTAAACCTTTATAGCACTAATTTTATAATTATATCTTCGGAGATGATGTCACTTAGGGTGAGCGAGACGGCTAAAGATGAGAATTGGGTCGGCTGTCAAAGGTTTGACATACGATGACGTACCCGCGTCAGAAACTTGTGCGTCGCTACGAAGAACTAGCTTACCATATACGAGTATGAAGATAAATTTCAGATATATAAGAATCAAAATATATTCTAAGGCTTAATATAAAAACGAAAAGTAAAATAGTCTAAAGTATATAAAAGAGTGAAATAGACGAGACGTTTGAAAGCACGTATATAATATATCCCATAAATTTCATCGGTGCCAGCCCCGGGTTTGGGAGGGGCGAGACTTTGCAAAAAACGTCGGCACTCGGCCCTACAAAGATAGGAAACGCAACCCGCCATTACAGAAAATTGGCCAAACGATTCCCTTCACAACATGTGATTGGGAACGGGACTGCGAAATTCGAAATTTTATTTTTTGCCCTCAAACTTAATGATACAGTTTCAGAAAGCAAAAAAAATATTTACTAAATGCTACCTTAACTTGAAAGTATTCGTATCTCTCAAATCTCAACATTATAAATGATCTCGTTGAAATCTTAGTAAAATCCAGTTTAAATAAACTCCAGTTATACGAAGACTGTATCGTAAAGACAAAACAAGAAACAAATAATACGATCAAAGTCAGCTAAATAGGTTTTTCTCCAGCTGAGAATTCGAAAATACGAATGACGTAAACTGCTGAAGGTGTATAAACGAATTTAAATACGTATACTTGCGTTTTAGAGTTCTAAATGGCTTGTTGGTAAAGTTAGGAAGTCCAAAGTTTGATTAAGGGCCTGTCGTATTGTTCATTAAACTTGGATTAAGTTTGCGCTGGATAGAACGAGCTGGCAGGCAGTTAGCGTGACGAGAAAAAACACAACGGCAGTGAACAAGTTTGTCGAAGAAAGTTTGCTCCGATAAAGATGTCTTCATCGGGGGACACTTATCGCTAGACAAATGAATTAAATTATAAAGCTTGGGATGTCAATCAAAATTGTATTATTCAAGATACTAAATAAATACTTGAAATTATTATAAGGTGGACAAAAGTTAAGTGACTATTGGTATTAGGTGTGTAACTACTAACTCGGGACTTAGCCCCGATGATGTATTTATGAGGTAGATTATTCTTTAGTTTACCCGGGTACATTGCCTCAACCTCAACCTCTTAAAGTGCGAGTTTTGAAAGTCATAATTGTTCTTTATATTCGATACATCGACGCACTATGGTTACGCACTCCACTGGATGCTGTTGAATGTGTGTTCCCGAAAGTCAACTGACATGTTTTGAAGTCACGCTAGTTTAAAAACAAGTAATTATAGATCTAAAAAAAAATACCCATCTACACTGTTTTTTTATATAACTACAACCATGTTCGCAAAGAAGCGAAAAAAGTAACGTATCTAGCGTTGGTCTTGCTCACAATCAAATCTGTATCACTTCAAAGGACCTTTCAAAGAATCAATATCTTCTGTAAGGTATTTCTTTAGTAGACGAACTTCATTAGAATAGACTTCAGTGTCTACTCTGCCCAACTTCTTTAAATCTAGTTTCAACTTTGTTAATTTAATATAATTTCATACCTATAATTATATTTCCATTCACGGTTAAAAAAGGAATATTCCTTTTTACCTAGGTAACAAACTATTGCCCTCGGCTTTGCTCGTGTAACTATTTCTTCTTTCGTGTTTCTGAATTTGAAAATGATGAATGATACACTCGTTTATAATTTACTTAATTCAGGCGTAAAAGTAAAATTTCCAAAAATCCTTTCTTAGTTTACAACATAAAAAGTATCAGCTGCTAAAACTTCAAGTTTTGTAGCCTCAGCGCTTTTGTAAGGCTCTGCATTGATGAATCAGTCTGCCGGGGCAAGTAATTTTAGGTAGGTATATATATTGATTGTGGTTAGGTTTCATGCTAGTTAGGCCCCGTCCGCACAGCGATATTTTACCGCGTGTTTCTTTTCGCAAAATTCTGTGACATATGGGATCTATAGGTAAAGGACTGGCGGAAAGAAATTTACGCGAAAAGAAAACTGTGATTTGATACAAAATGAATGCAATATGGCGGCGATTAAACGGTCGGTAAAATATTGCTGTGCCCAAGTTTAATTAAGTCAAGTTTAATTTAAATGTTAGTAACAATATTGTTCTATAGAATGTTAATTTCATTTAGCCAACAAAAACCGAATATCGAATACCTTTAAGTTAGATTCTCGGCCTTACAAAATATCCGAAACGAACCAGATACACGTCTATTTATTGATCAAACATCCATTGATCGGGTGTTACCACCTTTTGTGGTCGGTCGGGAGCTGCGCTGACTCAGCACAAACCTTCCGTGATCCATTGTGATCATCTAATTCAATAAAATCACCATTTTTGTTTATTTGGTGGCCGAGTCGGCTCCCTTGTCGGGTCTTAGTGTAGCATTAGAGGCTTAGACGCTATCATAGTGTATCGTGACGTTGTATTTTGTTTACGTGTTCTTAAATGTCGTTTGAATGTGATTGGATTTGTCATGTGTAATTTTTGTGATATCTGGTGTCAGTTTGGACCTAGTTTTAAACTTTTTAATTCTGATGTTTTTTTACGGTCTACATAAATTCGTTTATATTTTTATCAATGGTTTTCGAAGACTTATTTTCGATACTTTATGTTCTTAATTAGTTAACAAGAGTATATAATACAGACGATAAGCACGTAAATCCATCATCTTCTTGTCAGATGTTTCTATAAGAATAAATCAACTTTTGTTTATCAGTTTCCCTAAAAATATCTTGCAGCCTTAGCTTGGTGTAGTTTCAAGATTTTTGTTTTTGCTTCAGCAGTAAATTTTATTACATAAGTATTTAATAGGAATAGCTTTAGAATAATAAGTCAGTGGCTATTAGGGCTTTCAACATTAATTGTGTATTATATTTTACCTTTATAGCCAGTGAAATTATTTTAGACCTAAGTCTAATAACTGTCTCATAAGTTGGTTTAAACACGTAATTCCATTAAATTCGACCCAAGCTTCGTTTTAGGACAATTTAATTTGCGAGACTCTGATATAAACATTAATATACTAGTGTCATAACCCAGTTGTAATAAAATATTTCGTAAAGTTTTATGTTAACATGAAGTTAGGGGTTCTAATTACGTATCATTAATATCACATAGAGTACATGTAACTGATAGTAAAATGCAAATGACCGTATCATGGTCTTACACACCTTGAATTAAAACTATTAATTATTACCTTATTATATCTTACTTGACGTCCATTATAATAATGAACAGTATAATAATGAAAAATAAAGGAAATTGCATATTAAATATTTAAAACACGCCGTGACGATACGAACAGAGACCATGTTCGTTCTGTATTATTATTAAACAGCTTCTTAATCTCTTCTATACTAAGGTCTTTTTCAAACTTTGTTCTCGTTTACTCTAACTTAAAACTTCACGCGGGTAAGCAAGATAGCAATATAATAGCAGTTACGGTGTCGACGAACGATTTATGGCTCTATTTCATTCGCACGCATTCTGTTATTTACGAGCGGGAGGGGGAAAGCCATGTTTGCAGCTTATTGCTTTGGTATTTCTCGACAATGCAGATTAGACCTTAACTGTATAAGTTTAGGTTGAAAATTGGTTCAATAGTTGTCAGTTAGAAGTAAGAACAGCAGCTCCGCCTTAAAAATGGAAGGTGGTATGTAAAAATTGATGAACATGTATAGGAGTCCTTAAAGTGACAGAGTGTGCTGGCGTGTTGGGCAGTGTATATTGTCTCAAAATGTTGCAGGACAGCGCGCTTCCAACACCATTGTTTATTATCAAAAAGTGATAAATCAAATGACTTTGCAATAATGCTTTTATAAAAACTTTAGCGTTATACAGTGAATCGATCTGAATGTTACTGTGCCTGTGTTTTGTGGGACATAAAAAGCTTGCTGATAAAGTGAAGACAGTGTTTATTTAATGTGATAATTGTATTGTTCACACACATAAAAAGAACTTTGTGGTTATTGTTTATGAACAGGAATACTTTGTAAAGTTACTTACCTAAACAAACATTGTAATAATTTTGAAATTAAAACTATTAAGTGTTCTCATAAACTAAGTATAAAAACCATAAACTGTAATCGTCTTCACAGCTGTTGGGTTTCAAAGAAGAAACAAATATTATAAGTGTGATAAAATATTGAATGTTCGGCTCAAAAACTTAGGTTTAAAACATCACTTCAACACAGATACATACTTTTCGTATCTTATCTAATATTTAATGTAACACAAACAAAGCAAAAATGTGGTCAAACTAAATGGCAGCCATATTAACAGGCGTGTTGTATACGAGGTGATGCGCGGAGAGAACCACGCCCACCATGAGCTCATTCCTCACGAACGGCGGATACCAGCCGCAGCCGGACCCCAAGTTCCCGCCCTCAGAGGAATACAGCCAAGCAGACTACATACCACCAGGGGAATACTACCAGCACCAACATTTACAATACAGTTACCAACATCAATATGCACCCGTTCAAATCGGAACAGGTTATGGCTACGGAGGGTACTACCACCCATTACCTCAGCATCCCCCTGTGGCTCCACCACCGAGACCACCAGAGCCTTCCCACCCCTCAGATGCAGATCATGGCTATCCCTCTCATAACTCTGACAGTACCCCAGGATTAGCAGAACTTGGTCTAAGGTTAGAGAGACATATTGAGGAAGCAGCTCCGGCAGGGAGAAAACTTCATGCGTTGGGTCGTGAAGGTTCGCCTGTCTCAGAAATAGATGATGAAAGGTTACTGCTGGACAGTCCACCTGTTGAAGACGATGACTCTTCTATATGTTCCGATAATACTGACAGGGTCATTTATCCGTGGATGAAGAAAATACACGTAGCTGGTGCTTGTAAGTATCATCTCATTATTAAAAGCTCTATCAATCAAAATGATTCACTGAAATATTATAATCGAAAGCTTAATTTAAGTGTCCATCTGATTAAAGTACAAATTAATGACGAATTCATTGGACGCCCACAGGTACAGGAGCTATTTTACCATCGTAATATCAATTGTATACATTACCTACCCCATTTTATCCCACAGGAGGTCTGGTGACCTTATTCAAAGTTATTTTGTAGCAATTTTTTTTAACCTTACATATCTCACATACGGTCTTCTGATCCCAAACTAGGCATAGTTTGTACCAAAGGAACCAGAGTGCTGATAAACATACTTATATATTTCTAAATATATACAAATCATAGATAAATTACACCTAGACATACAAACAAATAACACAAACAGAACAAATGATCGTGTTCATCACAGAACTATTTATACTGAGTTGGAATCGAACCCACGACTGCTGGCTTAGCAGTCAGTATCACTAACTACTACACCAAAAAGTCGTAGGATGTATACACAGGCAGCTCTACTGACATTCTAACTCATTGTGCATTGTTTGGAATAATTTTCTCAGCTATTTGGAAACCATGAAAGGGATTTTGAAAAACAAGTCTCACACTATCAAGAGGTCCCTATGTGGTACTAATCTGTCATCTGCTACACTAATATTTAGTATTACCAACATTATTGAACACAACTGGGGTACCAAGCGTCATAATAGGATCGCAGCTATCACTCGGGTCATATGCAGTTTGTCTTTTGGTATAGAATCATTATTTTAACATAGTACAACAAATACTGTGCTGTTTGTATCAATTGTCTGTGTAGAGTTTATAATATTAATAATTTTTGCCCGCGGCTGTGTTATCGTGGCGAAAAGTACCCTATGTCCTTTCTCAAAAATCAAAGCATCTCCTTGTTAAATTTCATTTAAATCGGTTTAGTACTTTAACTGTGAAAGCGTAACAGACAGAGTTATTTTCGCATTTGTAATATTACTAGGTTTTGCCTGCGGCTCCGTCTGCGTGTATGTCGGTTATCGCCCTTAAAAAGCCTATGTCTTTCCCTAAGAATCAAACCATCTTTATACCAAATTCCATCTCAATCGGTTCAGCGGTTTGTTGTTGTACAAACTTCCACCACCACTTAAAGGACGATTTCTGGGATAAAAACTATCCTATCGAACTATCTCTATACCAAATTAGAATTAAATCGGTTCAACGGTTTAAGCGAGAAGAGATAACAGACAGACAGACAGACACACTTTTTCGCATTTATAATATTAGTATAGACTAGGTTTTGCCTGCGTCTTCGCCCGGTAAAAACTAGCCTATGTTACTCGCTGATAATGTATCTTTTAAAGAATTTTTAAATACGGTTTAGTGGTTAAGACGTGAAAGAGTACCAAACAAACAAATAATTAAAATCACTTTTACATATAAAATATAAGTATGGATGTTAGTATTGAAATAGTTTTTGCCACTAGGAATACACACATTAATAACTTGCTAACTAGCAGATAAACATCCTGTAATGCAGTTCTCTTCGTTTTCTTCTCATCAAGCATCTCTGTCTATCTCTCCTTTCAGTTAAAGTGAATGGCATAGAATGAATGTACCAAGTCTGGGTTTTTTCAAAGTGATGGGTATATCTTTCACTAAGCAAATAAATGTAAAAATCTGCTGGTCATCCAGCTCTCTATAGAGACCGAGGTGAAGGTTAATGCAAAGGTCACAATGAAACAATTGACGCACCAGGTCAAAAATATGCAAAGACTTCAGATCAATCAACAACAATCAACAGTCTCAGATCAATTAACTACAAATCACAGAGCCTACACCTCTCTACTTAGTGGCAATTGCCTTGTTGTAAATTTACCTAAATTATTGGTCCGACGGGCCTGTTGGTCTAGTGGTTAGTGACCCTAACTGCTAAACCGGAGGTCGTGGATTCGATTCCCACCCAGGACATATATTGTGTCATGAGCACGGTCATTTGTTCTGTGTCTGGGTGTAATTTATCTATAATATTTATATATTTAAAAATAGATAAGTATGTTTATCAGCAGTCTGGTTACCACAGTACAGGCTCTGCCTAGTATCAGACGGCCGTGTGTAAGATATATTATATTATTGTGTTTTAAGTTTTAAGTGTTTTAAATCTATCCTCCGACATCTATTGCCTGTGGCTTCGCTTACGTTAATATAAAAATTATGAAGCCAAAAAAAAATCTATTCGTCTCCTTTATGCTAATAGTAGTTGTAATATTCACTTTCATAATATATGCATTTCCATAAATAAAATGAATAATGATCTTTCAAAAAATATAGCTTTTCTAGATGCACGAGTACTTATTAAGTACCAGCTTTTGCTCGTGACTCTGGACGCGTTTATGTCAGGTACAGCGATGAAAAGTAGACTATGTTCTTTCACAAAAATTGAAGTATCTCTGTCAAATTTCATTAAAATCGATTCAGCGGTTTAGCCGTGGAAGCGTAACAGATAGGCACTGTTTTCACATTTATAGCTAACTAGCTTTTGCCTACGGTTTGCCGGGTTTATGCCGGTTATCGCGGTAAAAAGTAGCGTATGTAGGTAATCAAGAATCGAACTATATAAAACCTAATTTTGAATCGGTTTAGCGGTTATTGATTCCGCCATACAAACTTCCAGCCCCCTTTTCATCCCCTTAAAGGATGATTTCTTTGATAAACTCGAGTCCCAAGAAAGAACATGGGTTCTTTCCTGGGACTCGAATTATCTCTATGCCAAATTACATTTAAATCGGTTCAGCGGTTAAAGCGTGAAGAGGTAACAGACAGACAGGGACACTTTCGCATTTATAACATTAATATGGATATTAGTAGGGTCGGTAGGGTTGTCTACTGACACTATCACATGCATTGCGAAGTGTATAAATTGCTTAGCATCCTACGAGTAAGTAGTATTGATTAGTTTCAATACAAATTTGTTTTCTTTATCAACAGTTTCACTTATCACTACCTATAGCATATCTTTTAAAACAATTTTCTGTTAAAATACATAGGGAAGATAGCGAGGAGTTGAGAATTTCTTTCTTTTTTTAAGTTACTTCACTTCAAAAAAGGAAGAAATTCTTAACTCTTCGCAGTCCGCTTCCTCCTTCAAGTGGAGTAAAGGGTGGTTAGCCTTTATTTAATAAGGTTAAATCCCATCATACATTTAAATTAGTCATCATTTATTTAAATCTAATTTTGCAGTAGTCTGCGTGTAGTGCTGTCAGAATGATGATAGGTAACGTCAATTATATTACAATTTTTTGGTATGGAATTACTCATTGCATGCAAATAAATCTTTGTACATTTTAAACATTTCCTCATTCCGTATTTAAAGGTTTTAACTATAAGACACACATATTTACATATATCTTATAAGAGCTTTAGATTACAAATAAGTTTATTGTCATTACAAAAAGGACATGAAATTTCAGGTGTAACAGTTTATCACATTTTTTTTTATTTTCCAACGAAATGATGTAAAAACTTTTTTTTATTTAAAAAGTAATGACAAAGAGCAGCAAAAAGATCTTTGTTCCTAGTCTGAGAACTAAAACAAAGTCATTTTTTCTCTCTTCAAAAAGATCTTGATCTTGAAGAACCAAAACAGTGTAATTGGTGATAGGTATGGGAAGCAAGTAGGACGGACCTCTAGAGCTTAACTCTCCAATATCATTGTAAAAACTTAATGAAATCTAAATTAATAAATATTTAAAAAAGTATCATCAATGCTTCTAATTCTTGATAAGTAGTACTAAGTACAGTTTTTCACTTACGTCTTCCACCTTTAGAAGTAAAATATTTTCTTCATATTTTAATGAAACTAACTTTGAGTAATACCAATACATACAAGAATTTTTGAAACCGGTTCAAATCAAAAAAGTTTTAGTCCAATTGAGATGCTCGTTCTCTTTGAAGTCGGTCTAATAATTACTTTTATAAATATTTTTAAACTAATAGAATTTTTATATGTCTTAAAAACATCCATACAAAACTTTTTTTCTGTAAACTATTCAAGTCTATTAATCCATCCAAGAAAATATAACTTGAGAACAAGATAAAGGATTATAAATACTGGCAAATCAACAAAGACATTTAACAAAACACCCAACTCACAAGTCAAAACCCCTAATGACCAACAAATGAATATAAAAGTACATTTCCGCAAGATTAATATGAACACATTAATTTTTACCCATTGTAATACCAACGTGAATTATTTAAAACATGTTACATGTTCGCGGTATGTTATCTGAAAGAATTAAATAATCACTAGCAATTAATAACTTTCTAAAAGTGCCGAATTTTGACGGAGACTCGTCTTCGAGTGTGTCCTTTCTGTTTTGACATTTTACTAATGCGATGTCATTATAAAGGTCCTAAGACGCCAGGGTCCTTTGTAAGGGTACAATGGAACCAACACTCATGTTAATGAGAGTCGTTTATTTTTATAGCTTTTAAATAGCTGTTTGTGGTTGTACATTTGCCATAGAGATTATTGATATCTAGGGTTTTTTTTTCGTCAAGAGCTTGTTTTCTGTTTATCATCTTCTAGCATTGTAGGCCGTTTATTTTGCCGTTACGGATATTAAACTTTAGTGTCACTGTATTTTATAAATATTTTATTCCTTTTTATTTAATACATGTGTTTTGAGATGTGTAATCATTTGAACTACAAAATAGACACAGCATGTAATTCTTCTGCCTAGAAAGAAAACAAATGGTTTTTAATTGTACCTATGGTTCAAAAACCTACTATTTATTCACCAGTTACAACACTACCAGATAAGAACACGAGGTGTAATATCCCGTATAGTTTATCTTGTCCAGTATTGTACATCATTTCGTAATATTTCAAAATGACAATATTCTGAAAACAGTTTAAATGTAGGTATCTATCTAAAACAGTAGTCTATTATTAATGAGGTTAGAGTAAAGATGTAATTTTTAGAGATTTATTTTGTGATCAACCTTTTTAAGTACATTCATTTTTTCTCTGATATAATTATGAAAATAAACGTAGCTTACAACTTTATCATGCAGTTTTGAAACACGATAAACTCTTGTGTATTATTGTGCTGATATGAGTGAATACAAAATCCAATACCCAATCCATGCCAACATAAATACCCAGAAGTCGCAAAAAACAAGCATTGACTTGTATTGAATTGAATAGAATCTTCTTAAACCTTTCTTTGGCGTTTTTTCATTTTAAATAATACTTAGCTTTCTATGTACAAGAAATTATACCACGATATGAACCTAAAGTATGATGAGATTTTAATCCCTAAACACCTAAATTGTTTATATCGTTGGTTGTCCTTGTTTAAACCTTCACAGATGAACTAGTACTTTTAAAATTGTATTCCTATACGTAACTATTTCTGTAATATTGTTAACTAAAAACACGACTATGGCTCCGTTCATTTCAAATATTGAAATTACTTCATTTAAGATAAACAGAGTAGGTAAACTAGACTTTCCATAAAAGTTTAAAAAATCATTAACTGTACATAGAGAGAAAAATAATAATCAATCACTTCTTTGATATATTTATCACGATAACCATGAATAAGGGCCCGTTGTTTGATCGGTAGTTAAACATACTAATAGTTAAAACGCGTTAGTTAAACTGACCATTTGTTAAAAATTACAAAATTGTGTTGTTTGATGAATAGTTAAGCTAACCATAGTTAAAAAATTTGACCATTTGTTATAAAAGTTAACTATGCGTTTTTGACTAGTTAACTTTGACAATTAGGTAACTGACATATAAGTACGAGGTTGTTTGTGGAAACGTGAGTGAAATAAAATGAATTTAAATATTGTGAGACATTTTGAAGACTCTGATAGCTCTTCTGACGATGATATTATTGTAGATTATATATTAAATCGCCGTCCTAAAACATTACGGGATAGAATATTACAGCTAGACTTTTGGGATGAAGTAAATTTCTTTGAACGATACAGAATGTCTAAAAGTACCGTTCTTTGGTTACTCAGTGAACTCAAGAATTCTTTGAAAAGGCCAACAGATCGGTAAGCAATACCTACCACCCTTGTTATTTATATGAATTTACTTTAATATGAATAAGTAGGTACTTATATGATTTTTTCCTTACAGAAACCATGCCGTGAGTCCGCTAGATCAAATTCTTTTGACGTTAAGATTTTACGCTACTGGGAATATTCAGCAGTGTTCTGGAGATCTGTTTGGATTGCATAAATCAACTATATGCAGAATTATTCACCACGTGTCAAAACTGATATGCTGTAAATTTAGATCAGTTATTAAAATGCCACAGAACACAGAAGAAATCAGATCTACAGTAGCAGAATTTTTCAATATAGCAAAATTTCCTAGTGTTATAGGAGCTATAGATTGTACTCATATACCAATGCTGAATCCAGGGGGCAACAATTCCGAACTGTATCGTAATAGAAAAGATTTCTTCTCAATGAATACTCAGGTAATTGCTGATGCTAAATTGAGAATTTTAGATATAGTAGCAAGATGGCCGGGTTCAGTGCACGACAGTACTATTTTCAACGCCAGTGAAGTAAAGAAGAAGTTTGACCGGGGAGTTTTTGGAAATTGTTGTTTAATAGGCGATCGTGGATATGCTCTAAAAAAATATTTAATGACACCACTATCCGACCCGCACTCACAACCTGAACGACTGTACAATGAGAGTCAGATAAGGACGAGAAATGTCGTGGAAAGAACCTTTGGTGTATGGAAAAGAAGGTTTCCTGCAATTGGTACTAAACTGCGAGTTAATATTAAAAATATACAACCAATTATTGTTGCAACAGCCATATTGCATAACATATGTATTGACAACAATGAAAACATCCCACGAGAGTCCACTATAATGAATAACCAGAATATAGTTGTGCCAATTGCAGAAATTGCAACACAAAGGCAATCAGACCAAGCATATCGGAACCATTTGATACAACAATATTTCCCTAGGTTATCAAATGAAGCCACTGTATAAAATGAATTTAAATATAATTTAACTTTACTGCATTTGTTCGTTTAATTAACACTAACACTTTATCTAAAACTAATCATTAACTTATCATTTTGTAAAATTATAACTAACTCATATGGATTCCCGCTGTTCAAAATACATGATGTATGTAATAAATGGTGCATTCAATGACCAAATAAAAAAATTGGGATATTTAATTAATAATTGAAAATACATTATTGAATTATTATTATTTATTTTCTGCTTTTAATTTTTTTAATTTTTCCTCCTCAATCTCTACTTCTATTGCAGCTTTTTTTAGAAGGAGATTATGCAATTTATTTTTAAATGCTATTTCTAATGCATGCATTTCTTCCTTATGCTGCATATTTTTGTTGTGCTCCTCCTCAGCAAACTCCAATATTTTTTCATCTCTCACTCCTTTCTTCTTTAAGTAGAGTTCTTTTTCGTGAGCTACTGTAATGATTTTTTTTCTTGTCTCGAGAGGAGTAAAATTCAATTTTCTTTTCCTAGAAGATGATTCTGAAAAAATTAATAGAAATCAATCATAAGAGCTGATTGTGATTTCATTGAGAAAATATATGATAAGGTCATACATAATACAAACCTAATGGTTTAGAAAGAGGTTTTCGCAGCATTGTATGTGGTGTGCTCGTGTCAAATTTCACAGTCTCCCGAGTCTCTTCATTTTCTGAAATAGGTAAATACAAAATATGTATATTTCAAACTGCCTATGCAGATCAGATAATTAATGCTGTTACTTGAATGATCAAATATGAAAACTTCATTTTCAAATTACTGCAAAGTGGACAATATTTTATTGTTTTTTTTTTAATTTTAGTGACTATGTACATTATATTTACAAATAATACATTTTACCATTGACATAAATTATTTTCTAACCTGGAACATCATGAATTGGCACAATATGAGCAACATCATGGATAACTCCGTCATTGTGTCCATCTGTATACGACACCATAGACATTTCCTCCTCAATATTTGAAAGAGCAACACTTGGTTGAGCTGCTTCACCATTCAACTGTGGAGTATTATTATCTGTAAACAAACATGTACTTATACACAACACTATTGATAACATGAAAATAACTAGATTCAAGAAAGAATAAATATAATAAAAAAGTACCAAAAATAAAATCTGAATCATGTGTGGATGGAAGACCCACTATTGATTCACCCATTATGCTGCACAGCCATTCACTGGTATCGGAAGGTTTGGGTGGTGGTGGCCCTCCACCAGTTCTTTTTTTTCTTGTGATAATTCCTAAAATAACACAAATTTACCTTACACACCTTAATATACAAATCTTAGTATATGTGTAAAATTAAATAATTTGCACCATAGTATAGATAGACAACAGTTATGTTAGAGTGCAATGAAACAATAAGTACAAACTACTGAACTTAGTTTGTAAATAACATTGCATGCAGCATACCTTTCTGGCATTTTTTTTCATGTTGTTGAACTTATAAATTAATTGTTTTTTCGTTCGATAAATAAGATTATTAGAATTAAATTCATTCGTTAGTTGACACCACGCTTCATCTTTTTGCTTCGTACTGGCATGGTCTGTCTTTTTATTCATTATTATTGAATATTTTTCAAGTAACTCCTTCAATTTGTTGAGTTCTTCTCGGCTAAAGTTATTACTCCTCTCTCTGCAAATGAATTATATTGAATTTATTAATGGTTCATGTTTATTACACTACGAGTGAAACAAAATTAAATAACTAGGATTACATTAATTTATTAGGTAGCTTGTTAATATTGTTTACTTGGAATCTCTGTGTGGGACATAAATTTGTACTTACTTGCTCATTTTGATTTCTATTCTTTCACAAAAGATCGAAATTCAACAAAATTACCACGAGCGACGAAACAAAAACAATAACACAAGCGAAGCGACGCTGTCACGATACGTCAATTTCGAGATTTTTTACTTTTATGTCGTTGTGTTGCCAGTGCAATATTACTTTCCCAACATGTATTTTCCTTCTCCCCAGTTTATTAATGTGGCAGCACAAATGACTATTGTTATATTTAACCATAGTTAAAAATATCATCAAACAACATATTTCAATTTTAACCAATTGTTTAGGCGCTAACTATGGTCAAGTGACAATTAGTTAAATTGACTAACAGTCATGTTTAACTATTTATCAAACAACGGGCCCTTAGTGACACAAATATGTAAGCATTAATTGATACAAAATTTAATAACAACGAAATAGAGACGTGACAATTTTTTATCTAGAAAAGACTACTGAGTACTTGTGGGCCTGTTGATCTAGCGGTTAGTTACCCTGACTGCTAAGCCGGCGGTCGTAGATTCGATTCCCACACGTATTTGTGTGATGAGCAGTATCAATTGTTCTTTATCTGGGTGTAATTTATTTTTAATATGTATGTAAAAATATGTAAGTATGTTTATCAGCAGTCTGGTTACCAGAGCACAGGCTCTGCGTAGTTTCCTGTGTGAGATGTGTGGGGTTATTATTATTTGTTTCCATGAACAATGAAAGAAGTGAAAGAAGGTGTTGACCAACTTTCAGAAGAACATAGGTAATAAGTAGCAGTTTATAGTAGAAAATACGTAGAGGAATCAAATTACTTCTCTTTTTTTTTAATAAATTGATTATTAGTTTAATATTTTAAAGCTTTATTTTAAAAAGTCATAAAAAATCGACTGCGGACAAGAGAAGTTAAAAACCGAAATAATATTTAATTAATTATTACCTATAGTCGGTCATGCTCATGACATAGAATTGCTAAATATTTGTTATTTAGTTATTTTATTTATTTTCGACTCTGCTGTTTTGTAATTTCATTTTATTAATAATTTTCTCACATGTATTGTTTTAATAACTTTCATAAATAATAACTTGTGGTTATAAGTTATCACTCTCGAAATATATTTTTAAACGACTTCGAAAGGCCCCTCCTTTCGAAGTCGTTCTCAATTTTAACTTTAATTTTTGTTCTTCTGTGTTTTTACTTCCAACTATATTTTTTTAACCAATTTAAGTTTTTTTGTCTATATGGTATAGTTCCCGTTTAATTCTAATATGAAGAAAAAATACCACCCCTAAGGGTAAAAAATTAAAGAGTAAAATTTATTCAGCACGGTTCATTGCATGCATTAATGGAGCATGCAATCGTTGGGTAACAGTTCAACTTCTAAGATCGTTGGAAGTGACCTGTACTTGTAATTTGTTACAATTAACATATAGTTTAACATTTTCCAACACCACTTAACCATCAACCTCTTACTTGCAATTTTCTCTAAATAACCTATATATATACCAACTCTGTGAGTTAAATTTATTGTTAAAGTCATGCCTGTAATAATATACACATATGCATTGTTGATTTGCTTTAACGTACATGACAAATAATAATGTGCCATAATCACTGTGACCTCTAACAATAAATTGTCACCCATACCTGCTGTCGACACGTTATTTAAATGATGACTCTAAATTATGTATGTATTGTATTCATATTTCACATGGTTTGTATAAAATCATATCTTATTTAGGTGGTGTTTGCTTAAAAATATATAAGTTTAATGTGTTTTTCCTTTTAATTTTATCGGTATAATTAAAGATAGATTGACATTTGAATAGTTCTTAAATTAAAAGGTTATGGTAATTATATGAAACAAGGGCTTGATCAAATTTGCAGAGATTATTGTGGTCACATGAAGTCCCTGTGTGAAATGGTAGTATTGTAAAAACTATTTTTGTTTTAAATAGATAGCTTGTAATAGATATCCAAAGCATTTTTAATAGAATAATTTAATGTATATTAAATTCTTCTATTAAACATTCTTCGGCCTTTAGTCATATTGACTCTACCTGCCCCACGTTGAAATGGGCCGTGAGATACATTATTGTTATTCATTAAGCCAAAGCATTTTTAATAGAATAATTTAATGTATATTAAATTCTTCTATTAAACATTCTTCGGCCTTTAGTCATATTGACTCTACCTGCCCCACGTTGAAATGGGCCGTGAGATACATTATTGTTATTCATTAAGGAAAAGCATTTTTAATAGAATAATTTAATGTATATTAAATTCTTCTATTAAAAATTCTTAATTTTATTTAATTTATATTAATAAATATAAATTAAAAGATGGCCTAATGAATACCAATAATGTATCTCACGGCCCATTTCAGCGTGAGGCAGGTAGAGCCAATAGAGAGCCATTTACGAAGATCCTTCACAACTTACGACTCTGCAATTTTCATCAGACCTTTCGTTCACTGACGGCAATTTAGGAAGCTTTTTAAGCGGCTCTTTTCAGCATACTGCTTATTTAAAAGTATATACGAGTCAACCAGTTTTATCATTTACTAGCTGACCCGCGCAACTTCGTCTCCATCTCTCAATAGTAATAAATTTTCTCCGTTTTTGAAACATTCTTCATTGGTGCTCCGCTCCTATTGGTCTTAGCGTGATGATATATAGCCTATAGCCTTCCTCGATAAATGGGCTATCTAACACTGAAAGAATTTTTTAAATCGGACTAGTAGTTCCTTAGATTAGCGCGTTCAAACAAACAAACAAACTCTTCAGCTTTATAATATTAGTATAGATATGTAGGTAAAAAATTTAGATTTATAGTTTGTTAGCGAATGAGCTCCGTCTTCGCACGATTGCAATTTACATACAGTAAATCAGTATTTTCAGAAATTACACCATACGTATTTACATACCCTGCCAATATTATAAGCATGGATTATAGTGATAAATAATGTACTAGTACTAGCATAGTCAAGCTTAAAATTCTAACACTTGGAGCTAAGTGGTCGAGCCAAAGGATGTTCAATATACAAAAGTTCTCAACAATTAAAACAACGAACATTATAACAGTCTGCTTGCTTTAAGTGACATTAAAAAACTGGTTGAGTTGATTGATCGATGATTACAAAGGAATGGCTAATATCACATTCGCACCAACTTTATTCCAAATTTTAAAAAGTCTGTCCAGCTTATCGACACCTGTCATTGGACTAACATTTTTCACTGAATACAATAGTGGGACAAAGAGGCTTTAGATCCATCGTAAGTTTGACGTAATGAGGCGGGACCACCTCGTGGCTTCGATAGCGCATGCGTCGCAAGATCGACTCGAGATTAACAGATGGACCACACGTTGGTTGCAGGTAGCTCGTAATTCAATTGAGATTGTCATCGTCGTGATGACGTGATAGTGGCTAACGAAGCGAAGATCGAGCGGCCAGTAGCCGTAACGGGCCAGTTCCGCGGCTCGTTAAAATAAATAGTTGTTTCGTGATTCGTTCATGTTCAATGGTGAGGTAGTTGTTTTTATAAAATTGTAATGTCCAATCAAAAAAAAAAACTACTCGCTTTAATCATCTTTTGACCTACTTTATCCACGTATAAAGAAAGTCAAAAGATGAAAGGAACAGCACATTCAATTATCAAAAAACGGTTAAAATTATATATATATTTTCATAAAAACAACCCGATTCTAATATAATACATAAACCACAAAACAGTATTCTGTTAATTGGCTAGCACGCCACATATTTATGGCTCCTAAAAGCACTCTAAAGCGTCGTATAAAACAAATTACACATGTACTTGTGGCCACGTTACAGCCTGTGATAAACTGTACTTATATTTTATATCCGTACACCTAATTACTACACTACGGCGAAAAAAAATAAGATAGAAGTAATGTTCGTATGTATGTTCGTCTCTACTACAATCTCTTGAAGAACTTTTGTGGGTAGTCCGTAATTTCATAGGGTAATTTGTTAAAATTCTACATTTTCTTTTGTTAAGAAATAAGTTTTTGCCAAGAACTAAAATGTATTATTAAACTACAGTGTCTTCTACATGATTCATTCAATATCGTTTATGTAGCACAGCATTTCAACAAAACAAAGTAATGCATAATTTTCACGAGTGATCCGTCAACACAAGTGGTATTTTGTCGCTTCGGACATTTGTAATACTCGTAGATCATTATTTTACGTATATACGATGACATATAACCTGTCACAGAATACATTCGATATGTATTTCGGGTACTATTTTATAAAGCAAAACTTATTTTTATCAAACATTGAGATGACAAAAATTGAGATTTATACGTAGGTATAGTAGATATACAAATCTCCTTTCTCAACATTTACCTAATGCATTTTGTTTAACCTCTCCTGGTGTGGCTACTTTTTACCATGGTTATTATCTTTCGCGTAAATTGCTATTACCCCTTTGAGATTTGATTTTTAATATATACCTAGGTATTTTAAACTGTACAGTTGTGTTTAAATAAATAGTGAAATCTAATACAAAACTGATTGTCAAAAAACGTATACATAATCAAAAACATAGCTATCAATTGTTTTTATTACATAAGTATTTACGTACATATCTACATACACTTACACCTCATTCTCGTTCGGGGTAGGCAGAGATGATAGAATGCTAGTTGCCAGGATCCTGACATACAGCTCACTTCAACAAGCATCTGGCTTTTCTTTCAGTCTTCTGAGACAGATCTGGTCAGGACATGTCTTTTCAGCCCTGCCCGTATCGGCTCACTCACTCACAGGGGCTTTATAAATTCTTTTAGTCAATCGTAAAAACTAGGCAAGCAAGCTAGGCAAACCAGATTGCTCATAAACATACTTATATATTTCTAAACATATACATATTATAGACGAATTACACTCAGACACGGAGCAAATGATCGTGCTCATCACATAATTATTTATCCTGGATGTTAATCGAATCCACGACCCCTCGAGCAGTTAGGATCACTAACCACTGGCCTAACAGGACCGTCAGCCTATAATTATTAATACCAAAAACCATACAGAGCATCCAGCACATTTGTATTTCATAAGAACATATGTATAAAATGATAAAAAAACTTGGATCTGCCGCCGTTTCCTCACACTAGGAAGCTAACATACCTACATACAAACTATATTTCCATATTTACTCGGCCAGTCCCTAGACCCGGATCAATGTGGCGATGTCAGTGGTCAGTGGGAATCTCGGCGCGAACCCGAGCCGACCGCACATACCACAACCGCGGAGATTCAAAGAAATACCACTGCGGGGCCCACGGAAACGTCTCTATCCCTTTCTTGCACAGGCTTTATATGGATCAAAAGTTTTGATGTCGCTCTTTTTTGCTCTATCGTTATTAATATAATACTCGAGAAAGTTCATTTCATTAGAAGTTATTTGAGGGTGGATTAGTTTTAATGTAACTTTTGTGTGCAGTATTAATTTAAACCAGATTTACAATTTAGTTTTCACTTAGGTAATCAATACTAAAACCTATAGTGCAAAAACTAGAAGTACAAAGTATGATGACGGACCTACATCATATTTTGTACTTCTACAAGTAATTAAGTGAAAACTAAATTGTAAATTTAGCACGCTAGGTTTTGTCCGTTGCTCCACGAACGTAGGTATGCCTATGTCCTTCCTCAGGAATCAAAGTATCTCAATGCCAAATTTCATTATAATCGGTTGAGCGGTTTAGCCGAGAAAGCGTTACAGACAGCCAGACAGAGTTAATATTTATAATCTTAGTCGACATGTTTCATTTCATGTATGACTCTACCTAGTCCTTCGATGATAGTATGTTTTGGAAGCGGCCATTCGTTCGTTAGGATATCTGTTGCCTCCTTCCCAGACGACGTAGGTACATCAGTGGTAGTAATGGTTCCACTAGTAAAGCCATCCAACCGCAGTCTTCAGTAGGTTGTACCTATCTATAGGTATACTGCTACTTGATACATCGAATTAAAACTTTCAAAGACTTTTATACTTCGAATTTGTATAAAGATGTCAGTGACGTCTGAGGTTTCCATTAACACTGAGTACAAAAGCAATTTCCTTCAAAGGAAATTACAAAATTACTAGGACTCGGCCAACAATAGAACATTCTATTGGGAATATTAACACTATTTTGCTGTTGAGCGTTGAATAAGTTGAAAGCTTAAGATTACACTTTTATTTAAGGTTTTTGAACTTCTTTAACGTCACTCTTTTATTTGGAAACGCTGAGTTAATTATGAATTAAATTAAAATGTTGCTGAACTTATTGCTTTCATACAACATTTCTAGATTGATGCTAATTTACTATAAAACATGTAAGTACTAATTGTACATAAGTCATTGGTTTTCTGAAAACTAATCTGAAGTAGGTCCTAGTGTGATTCGCAAAATATGTTTATATTAAGACAATTTTATAAATTCATACTAATATTACAAATGCGAAAGTCTGTTATTCTTTCTGTCTGTCTGTTACATCTTCACGCTTAAACCGCTAAACCGGTTTTTATGAAATTTGGTATAGCTTTTTCCCGTGGCTCCGCCCGCATGTGTGGTTATCAAGGTAAATATTAGCATATGTCCTTCTTCGAGAATTGAAGTATCTGCATTATAAATTCATTAAAGTCGTTTAAGCGGTTGAGACAGACCCACAGACAGAGGTACTTTCGCATTTCTAATACCTATTACTTAGGGAATATGCCCAACTCTTTTTCATAAGGATTTTGTGTAGTGCATAAATTATACAATCAATCTAATGGTAGGCCAAATAGTATGTCTCGATGTTTGTAACGGATGAAACTAGTCACGATAAATAGCAACTAACGACAAAGTAATTTACGGTATAAATTCTTACCAACTAAAATCATTCAACACTAAAAGAAAATATTTTTCTGAATTAATGAGCAGTTGTATAATATATTACATATGCGCTTTATCATGTACGAAAATATCAATAGATAAAATAAAAATAAGTGATTTCAGAGTGATTAATAGAAATATGTCGAGTAAATTAAAACTGTCTTAACCACGGACAAAATACTCGATATTACATAACCTCCACATAGGGACAGACAACATCCTTATATGAAAACCTGAACTAAGTACATGCAAAACACTGCCTCCATACTAGGTGTAAACCATATCAGTTTCTACATTGTCTGAACAACTAATTTACTAGGCGCAATAAATCAAAACAAAAAAGGAAGCTCAAGCGCATGTATGTGTAATTATTATGCACATTAATTAACAGCGGGCCCTCGTACATAAATTATTCAGTACAACCTCAGCACGCAACGCAGCAACCTCAGCATTATTATTGCGCTATGAATTACCCAATAATATGCAAACATTTGCAAATAAATACATGTTACATTTCCTATTGAAATAGTTTTTTTAAATTTCAGTATTTTATTGATAAGAAATAAAACATGACAAATGAATATACTACAATACGTTTTTTGTTTACAGCCAATGGCTCCTATCAACCTGGGATGGAACCGAAGCGTCAACGAACAGCCTACACGAGACACCAAATATTAGAACTGGAAAAAGAATTCCATTACAACAGATATCTCACAAGGAGAAGACGAATAGAGATAGCTCATACACTAGTCTTATCAGAGAGGCAAATAAAAATCTGGTTTCAGAACAGACGAATGAAATGGAAGAAGGACAATAAGCTGCCGAACACCAAAAACGTTAGAAGAAAAACAAATCCAGCTGGCGTGACTACAACCACGGCTAAGGGATCCACACCAAAGAGTAGATCGAATAAGAATACAAATAACAATGACAAGAAGAAATCAAATAACAACGGTAGGCCAGATAGTATAGAAAATGTTACGGATAATATTATGAACGATTTGCACTGTGTCGGGGCTCAACAAAATTTATCTCATGATCCTGCCATTAGTCCAATGTCACATCATGGAGGTCAGATGAATCCGGGTCATCCTATGACGCCGCATCACTTGCACATGATGGGCATGCATGCCGGCATGGATCCAGCTTTGCTAGCCAACTTATCGGCGCATGGCTCACCCGTCGGCACCGCTGGATGTGGCACAGGCATCACCGGACAACCAGTCATCAAATCAGACTACGGTCTAACCGCCTTATAATCATTAGATGTGTAAAGAAGAAAATTATATTTTTCATTATTGAACTGTAATTCTTACCATTCCTTTGTGTATAAGGTGTTATAAAGTGATTAAATTAATTTAAGATTATTTTTAAGTTGTGTAAGTATTTTAGAGTAACAAGCCATAATCGGATGTTTGGATAGTTAGGTGAAAAACATTACAATGTCAAAAGTGTGATTATTATTATTTTAGAGTAGGTAAACATTTTCAGAGTGTTGGATTTGTACAATTTATTTTAAGTCATTGTCAGTAGCAATATTGTATTTATTAACTAACCAACCTTACCTTAATCATTGAAACACATTCATTTCCGATATATTCACTGATTTTAACATTTTAAGCTTTTTAGCTACTTTTTTTACTCCTAAATTCATATGTAGGTATGTTTCTTGACGGCGACACATCTATCTTAAATTGTTTGATCATTTCGGCAATTTATAATTTCACATTTAAATGCGCCTGATAATTCTTAATGCATTGTGTGAATTTACTAGCTTAGATTATATTAAATATATTGTTCCTAAAATACACAAAAGGGAAATGTTTGTATGTATGACTAAAATAATCATGTATGATACGAGTGTCGTTCATAAGCAAGACTTATGTGATGTAGACAATGACTTAGGTTTAGGTACAAATGTGGATTTAATTTTTAAATGAAAAATTGTTTTGTAACTGAAATAGAAGAAATGTGAATACAAAACCAATAAATATAGTAATGATATAAAATACATTTTATGCATTTATTTCTCTCCTTTGTAAAACCCGAAAACAACCAAACTTAAAAGACTATGTTCTATTGAAATCAAATGGTGATTTTGAACTAGCATATTATGTACCTACCTAATAGTTATAATTAAAAATCCTTTTACTAAGAAAATAAAACTCATTATTAACTATGGAGTACATTATAGGTACATTGTATTTTTCTAGTGTGACAAAAATATTTTAAAAGTACAGACATCAACAACAGCTTTAAGTTGGCAAATAAACATGTTTCTGTTCACTCAAAACTAAGCCTGGTTCATTATATTCGTTTCACATTACTAAATTGCAATAGTATACCATAATCACGGCTTTTCTTTGATAGTCGCCTACACACCAATCTTTCGAACAGCATCGATATCATAACCTTGTGACATTCGTATCGAACGAAATGAAAGCAAAAATCATAATGTATTCGTTGAATGTGAAGTCATTAATCAACGTCGCCGGCTCATTGTGTGGCCGGCACGCAACATCTCCTACGCCGACGACTACAGTTTTATCATAACCCTGATATACAATTGTATGGCTATGTTTCACAGCTTAAAAGTCGGGTAGAGTGAATTTTAACACTTGCGTTTTGATATTAGGTGATTTAATGTTTAGGTTCTATAACTTATTTAGAAATTTATCAGTTGTACTTCTAACTAGTACCTACTAGTAAGTAGTAGTAAGTATATTTAACAAAAATGAAGGTCAAATTAAAAATTATTTTTAGATAAACTGTTAGTGAAGTAATGTCATGTATCAGAGTAAAATCAAATTTTAAACACAACATTATTTTGAAGAAGAAAAAACACAGAAGAAAAAATTAAACACTCAGTATTTTCAATTAAAAATATACATTTTAGATAAATTCAATCTGTATATTGACTTTTATTATAGACATGTACATGTAGGCGTTCTCATAAAGATTGCTATTTTTATTATTGAAATAGAGACGTAAAATTACATAGGCCGGCTCACCAGTGCATTTTTAGGTAAATTTGACATAAATAAGATTGACAAATAAATTCCTTATAAAGACAGTAATTTCAAAAATGTTTATTAAAACGAATATACAATAAGCCAAGTGGTAGGGATAACACGGGTTTGTATATTTTTTCACTTGAAGCCTTTGATGATGGACAAAAAAATGTTGACAAAAACTCACAAATTAGCAGAAATATTTTCTTGTTCATTTTAGAAATACTGTCAACAATAGTTAACAACAACCCTTTTTTGCACGGTGCCTTAAAGAGTTGTAATTTTTGCAAATCCCAGCGTTGACTCGGCAAAGACTGTTATTGTTTGTAAGATTTGTATGCAAATAACAAGATTATGCTACCGTGTCCTTTAGAAGATTTATTGTAATTTACCGCTTATAGAATGTTTTGTTTTTTTTCATGTCCCTTGTGATTCTCCTGTCATACACATGAAAACGGTAGCTGTTTTACAGTTATTCAATTGTTTTTGCATCTTTTGTTTTTTTTTTAATTTCGTAAAATAAAAGATGACTAGGCAGTTCTATTGTCTAGTTTCTTGACAATATTGATCTTGATTATTCATTTAAACAGCTAGAATCTAAAATACGAGCATTAAAACAAAAATAGTAATTGTAAACCAATTAAAAAATACCTTAATATTTACCTTTCTTATTTATTCGGTTTTTTTTTTAAGTTCAGTATTTTATATTCTGTGTACAAAAAAAATTTGATCCTAACTTAATTTATTAGGACTTAAGATTACATACTTATAAACTAACTTTCCAAAAAAACTATACAGACTAAAAACTAGCAAATTTACACAAACAAAAAAAAATTAACCCGTTCCTGGTCATTTCCTGACGAAAGGTGCTTGCCAGACTTGCTGCATTGCCGCGTTGCAATGGCCAACCCTCGCACCAGGAATGAACCGGAGCGGGAGTCACTATTAATATACCTATAAAGTATTTATAATTGAGAAAGAGACAAGGACTCCGTTTGTTTTCGATTGCAATATTAGATTTGTTGCTCTAGGTTTATACCTACCTACCTATCTTATGATAAAATATTTACTGTGCTAAATTTGCCTATAAATCCTCGCTACAATGTCGACAATGCAGTCAACTCCCAGCGTTAAGCAGTAGCATTCACGAGAATCTATAACAAAGTAGACAAAGTTTCTTAAATTCTACGACCATTCCTAAGGGACACGCGTATTATTTAGCAACCTTCTAACATTTGGAAACAAAAGGCGGTAAAATAAAAGGTCTATCGTGTAGGCTGTTTGGCAGGTGAGCCTGTCTCGAGGGAGCTGTTGTAGGAAGTAGAGTAAAAGTGCCGCGGAGACGGTGACTTGCTGAACTCGTGTAGAGGAAGGTGGATGGTGAATATCATTTTGACATTAACTATGTTTACGATATTGTACATCGGTGCGGAATATTCAGTAAGTATGATCTAAGATTTAATTTAATTCATAGGTGACTATCACACATGTGAAAAGTTACAATAATATTTTTTATCTGCTCAGCAAGTTACAGATCATAGTTAATTTGGATTCACTAAAAAATAAAGGTGTAGTTTTCTTAAGATTTCACTGAGTAAAGACCTATACTTAGTAATAATATGATATCTATATTCTTCTTTAAAAAATAGATTAGACATTACCAAAACTAAGAATAGGCAAAATGTTTCTGATGATTTGTCAGATACAAATGCATGGCTTTGGACTGTACGCTCAACTATAACTTGAGTAGACATAATTTGAATGTATATACCGACAGTTGAATCTGAGTTAAATCTTATGTTTATATATAGGTCAATTGAATTTTTAATTGATAAAATATATATTTTCGGAAGCATTATTAGTGTTCCAACGTCGAGAAACAAGCAATTAACTAACTCTGTACTGTTTGGCGGCTAAGCCGACGAGACGGCTCTCAAGGGACTATTTCCGACTGAATAGTAGACGACTGCAGTCTCGATTCTCTGTGGAGTGACTTGCTAAATTCATACACCAATTAGCAACCAGGTAGAATTGTTACCTGTTGTAACAAACTAAAGATCGAAAACAAAATTATTCATTGATTTCCGACATAAAATACTAAACAATGCTAAGAATATAAAAATTTGTGATTATAATCATCCAGTTGTCTTCACTTAATTTTATAAGTATTATTAAAACCAATATTGTTTAAGCCACTCAAGCGTTTCAGCGACATGCAACTGTAGCTTTGTACGAATAAAAAACAAACTGGTTGGTTTAAGAAGTGATCTATTTTTAAAGATTGAAGCATGTAGTATTCAGTAAACATTGTTTTTTGTATAATTACTCAAATAAATGGCCAATAAAAAGTCAACCCGTACAATATGGAAATAAGTAAAAATGTTACATTTGTATGTTTGACGGGCCTTTTAGTCTAGTAGATAGTGAACCTGACTGCTTAGCCGGAAGTCGTAGGTTCGAACCAATTCCAGTAAATGTCAGTATTCTGATTACGATCATTCGGAATCGGACAGCTCTGTGTGGAATGTCTCAGGTTATCATAGTAATAATTATTATTATTAAATTTCGTTTGTTTGTTGGTAACTAATAAATATTTTATTCAATAACATTAACTTATTTTTATTAATAGGGCAGAAGACCACTATACAATAAAAACATCCTAAACAGTAAAGATTTAAAATGAAGCCGATTTTGTTACATGTATATTTATGTCATCACACTTAGCAAGTTCGGCGTCGTCAAGTAAACTGAAAGAGCTGAAATTTCAACTATACGATGCGACAAATTTCAATACATCGTCTTGTGTAGGGGCGCGCCACGACTGAATATGGCGGATGGATGACGTGTGGTGCATGTAAAAGAGTAAGAGCGACTATTTAAATAATAAATAAAATAGATGTGATGAGTATGTTTCTTGTTTACTTAGGTATTTGTATTTATTAATATATGTATATTTCTATAAATTCTTTTAAAAGACTTCTTTGAAAAGACCCGCATTAGGAATATATCCCGTAGCGTAGTAGGAAGCGGCGTGGCAACCGCTTAAACCACTACGCCATCCGTGCAGTCCGAAATATACTCATTTATATTATAACCAGTTGGGTTTTATTAAAACTTTCTAATATTCTATCCGTGTGGTGACGGATTAAGAATACAGAGTGTCACCACCCCTATTCATCCCGTGGGTGTCGTAAGAGCCGACTAAGGGAAAAAAACTACGCAGAACAACAGCACTACAGAGAGAAGGA